GCTCTCTCGTCCTGGCCACACCTCTGCTCTCTAACCCCCCCTCCCCTTCCCACACCCCCTCCCCTACCCACTTTGATGCATTTTTCAAATTTCGCCTTGGGGCGGAGTTATCTTTTCACGAGGGGGTAAGATACACTTTAAGAACAAAGGAAAGAAAACTGGACAGATAAAATCAAGTTTTCAAGACAAACCATGTGTTTAGTCTGCTTAGAGACGCTGTCTGCTATGAAGCATTTTCATAAAAGTCACCGCTACAACAAGCTGCACAAAGCTAAATATGAAAAGTTTACTGAAGTCACAATTACCAAGAGACTTTTTACTAGAACCAGAACGACGCAGGAGTCCGACCTCAAGGTGTCATATGAAGTTTCACTTCAGCCCGCTAATATAAGAGTTTATTTTTATTGTACTTCAAACACTATTGTTGTTGTACTCTTGTTTAATAGATAGTGTTTGAAGTACTTTCTATTAAACAAGAGTACAACTGATATACATGCATTTGAGCATGAAATATATTAAGTTACTGCACTTTATGTTTGTTTAACATATACTTACATAAACATTTTTAAACTGGCAGTTTTATTACTACATTGTGTTCAGCACTATGTGGCCCTCTGGTAGTGTCAACAAAACAACCATAGCCCCTTCCATCATTTAAGTTACCCAGCCCTGATTTATAACTTGTCTTTTCCTTTTCACTGACCTCACACATAAATATATCGAAGATCCTCGTGGCGACGGACAAAGGAAAGGAGGTGAGGAAGATGGTGAGGAACCACGAGGAGGCGTACATGGAGGTATGAAAGCTCTGGGCCTGGAAATGCATATGAAGCTCAGGGAGATGCTCCTGTCGGGGTAGAAATGCACACAGATACACGTCACGCACTTTTCCTGACAAAGCCCTCGTTGGACGGTCAGCTCGAGGAGCCTACCTGGATCATACATTCAAACTGGTACATGCAGAGTCCCAGTTCTGCCATACTGGGCTTGAAGAGCTCTCGTAACCTGTAGTCTTGCATCAGCTTCACAAACACACAGAACGCCTCCTCTTCTGGCATCTGGACAAATAATAGGGATATTTTAAAATCTGATATTCAGTCAGACATACCGTTATTGACAAAGAGGAGATGGATTGCAGTTTTTGTGGTGAATGAGGTGTTACCTGCATGAGCAGCAAACCCACAATGAAGGCACTCCCCTGACAGTAGCCAACCTCACGATCCACCAGAGAATAAGCCTAAAATATCAGATTTTCATTTCAAGTTCAAGCTGAAGAACGTTAACTGCAAACTTTACGTTTGTCTAAATATCACTTCTCTGGCTCAAGTTCCTCAGACAGAAGAGGAGTTGTACCTTCATGACATTAAAAAGCACTTCCTGGCCCAAACTGTCCTTCTCCTTGAAGAACTCGTGCTCAGGATAGGTGCGAGCGATATCTCTACGGATCAGCTTCTCGCACGGCGACGTCATCTTCAGCAATTCTGAGTACTGGTCTTTGATGGGCATGTTCTGGGCGTTACACAGCAGCTGCCACACTATGGCCCGGAAGTGGTGAGGAATCCCTTTCCTCACCAGATCCTGTAGAAAATCAGACACTTTAGAAAACCTCTTTGGATTGTGGTGACAGTAAAATCTGCTTTGAACTGTAATAAATGTAACATTTAGGAGGATTAAAGACAAAAACAGTTCAAAGAAAGGTGTGTGTTGCAGACTGGTGAGCTGATTCTGATTATTCTAAATAACAAGTCCCTTCAGAGGGATCCATCAGTGATCCAACACCTGCAGTGGGTACTTTGAAGCCCAAACAAAGCACAGAAGGTTTTGTTTTCCTGTTGTAACATTTATTTTTACAGCCTTTCTCCAGGACGGAGAGGACTCTGTCCGTTTGGCTGAGATACGCACTTTTAAATCTCTGACACAGAATTTCAGGAAAACCCCCAACTCTGCAAAACTACAGTTTAGTTCAGCCTTATTTCAAATAAAACAAGCAAGGCTTCACATTTTTATAGGAATGAAAAAGACTAGAAAAATCATTTTATAAAACAGTGTTAAGCCATAGTTTGGTACATATCTATCTCATCATCTGTCTCCACTAAAAAAAATAATGAGTAAATAAGTCACTTTAACAGTGATTTGTTTCCATGCATTAACGCTGATACAAGCTTATGAAGTAACTTCCTCTGTTGACGGAACACTGATCTTTCCTGCTGTGACGACAGTGTACGACCGTGTGTGTCTGTGTGTGTGCACATCGTGATAATGTTGTGTGGACTTAATTTGACATTAGACCTCCTTTGTGAGGATGTTTTGCCTGCTCCACACAAGGGAAAAACACTACTTTAGGTTTGTGATTATGGTTAGGACTAAAGTGTGAGTTTAGGTTAGGTATGTACTGGGTTTAAGGTAAGGGGTCAGGGTTAGGCTAAATGATCAGTAAATGAATGGCCAATGTGAAGTCCCCATGAGGATAGAAGAACAAATGCACGCACGTGTGTGTGTGCCCTGTTTTTTGCTACTTGGTGGGGACAATTTTTCAGGAAAATGTGGCCTTGTGGGGACTGGATACTCCTTGTGGGGACCAAAGCCTGGTCCCCACAACTTTGAGGCTGATTTTGGGTGGGGGGTTGGGTTTAGGACCAAGGTGTGAATTGAGTTTAGGTTAGTTTTAGGGTCAGGAAGATACCTGTGAGGTTAATTTTAGGGTAAATAGTCAGGGTTAGGATATAAACTTTCCAAAAAAGTGACTGGAAGTCAATAGAAAGTCCCAACAAGGACAGAGACACATTGCTGTGTGTGCATGTGTGTGTGTGTGTGTGTGTGTGTGTGTGTTGTCAGTGCAGGGAGCATCTGGAACAGAGGTTCACCCACTCAGACCGTCAGCGGGGATCCCTCTCTCCTCAGCAGAGCTGGACAGAACAAACTGTGCTTTGTGCTGTAGAAGAACAACGCACCACTTCATATCTCCACTCCTCAACAAAAGCTGCTTTCTGGGTCACACTGTTACTTTAACCACCGTTATATTTCACCTCCACAGATATATTCACAACGTGGAAACATTGTTGAAAGCTATACAGGAAAAACCTAAAACTTACTGTGATATTTACCCATAGTAAACTACAGCGTATTATTTGATTCGGAAAATGAAGACACGAGCAGAAACTATCAGACAGATTTTGCTGACATGCACAGAATAAGGTTCCTTCCTTTGTGCAACAGAAACTACGTCTCTTTGCACATCAGTTTTGTGGAGGCCTCAGCGGTTATGAATAATATTCCTGCCTTGCTGAGCCATCTGTTGACCACTACTTCTGTTTAATTCCATAACAACATCATGCATGCTGATAGGCACTGTGCAACACTTCCCCATTTACACACACAACACCTAAAACAACTGAAATCTTCCCCTGCAAAGACTTTAGTGATTTTCAGTCTCATTTCTCATTTCTGGGAAACATGACGACTCAGTGGTTAATGCCCCATAACAAGAAGGTCCTGGGTTTGATTCCTGGTTTGAACGAAGGGTTATTTTATGTGGAGTTTGCATGTTTTGCTCATGTTTGTGCGGGTTTACTCCCACTGTCTAAAACATGTACAGTAGGTTGCCATCAGGTCCAGGCCTCCTTTGCAAAAGAGATCTGTGATCTCAGTGGGATTTGCCTGGTTAAATAAAAGTTCATAATATTTGGAGACAAGTATCTTCACCCACAGACAGCCTGACACCACAGGAGTTGTAGTTCAGCTGCCGCTGGCTGAGAAACATCAATTAGATGCTCAAACGGACCAAAACAATAATTTGCTGCAGTTGCATTTTTAAAGGTGAAAACTACACACTCCTGCTGAGTCATATCATTGACATTAAGGTACACTGGATGTGAGCAGTTTCAATTACAACACCGCTTACAGCTACTATAATAATAATAACAATAATAATAATACATTTTATTTGAAGTATTGTATTTAAAGTCACTCAAGGTCATACAGAGAGTATCTGTAAAAACAAGCATCCTAAAATTAGCATTAAGTGTCAAGAACAGAAATAAAGTCAAGGTCAATGCTGCAAAGTCAGCCTTGACACAGACAGCTCAACAAATTCTCTCTGCCTGCAGTAAATACTCACAGCCAGAGCTGTTTTCATGTTTGGACCAGAGAAAGGATGTAAAAAATGAATGTGTCATAAAAACAGGCATAAAGCTTAAAATTTAAGTGTGTAATCTCTTTATCTCTGCAACATAAATGAACTGACAGTGAGGATTATCCTTTGTCACAGAGACCTATGAGATAAACAGACACAAAACAGGATCTTTTGCAGGGAATGTCTGAAAATAAATTCCTGCTGCTGCATGATGGATGGGACCTTTAGTCTTATCTAAAGGTTACTGCTTATAGTCTTAGCACATTAACACCTGAAATCCTGAAAAAGAAACAAGTACAAAACACTGACAGTGATAATTATTAAACAAAGTCACAATTACGATTAATTTTAAGACCTACAATGGATAATCTGGATATATTTAAGACTTTGTATGGCATAAATTGAGATGAATAAAATTAAGACTTCTTTTCACCCTGCAGAAACCTTGAAACTGCACAAACAAACATATTTTTGAATGAATCTGAAATGCAATTAGAAAGTTTTACTGGGGTAAAGCAGACCTGCGTCACCATGACATAGATGTGCCACTCCTGCAGAGGGTCATGCCGACACTAGCTGAGCACCCAGGGCTTGAATAACTTGAAGAGCTCTGAATGAGCTCAAGTCTAACCACAACAACGACTAACAATAACATGAAATCCAAAAAAGATCCAAATCTGATTATACAACTAATCTGTAAAGTTTACTGCAGTAACTTCAACTTTAAACCACGAGTTGGGTACGAAACAGTTCAGAGTGGGTACGATGTGAGTGGAGGTGGGTAATGCGTTAATGTGTGCAGTTCTGTATAGATCAGCAAGTGCATAGATCTTTGGCCATGTACAAAACACATTTTAAGAGAATGTTTACAACCAAAACCAAGTGGTCAAAAACACTCAAAGTGAATCTTCTCCTATTTTCTCATGTTTGAGTCTCCAACAGTCGCAGCTCAACGAGGGACTACGTTACGTTTTGGAGTGAGTCGGTTCAAGACTCACCTTAAGCTGCTTCTCTTTCTTCTTGCGCACATCCTCCCACTCATTAACTATTCTCCCCCACAGGATCCACGTGTCCTCCTCCAGGTGGGAGAGGTTGGAGGAGGCGGAGGAGCTGGAAACCAGGGAGGAGCCACTGTTTCGCCGGGAACCATTCATGGAGCGTAGCGACTTGCTGTCCGTCTCCAGAAGCCTACAACAAAATGTAAGAGTGACATTTGAAAAACCGTAATGACTCACTCTGAACGGAATTAGTCACATTAGTAACCTTTTACTACTTTGGAGAAAATAAATAAATAAATAAATTTTAAGCCTATGTTTATTTTAGATTATGCAAATTTGACTTTTTTTTTTTACTCAGAGTGTTGCTTTGTCTCATTCACACGTTTGAGAAATCCTTGAATCTCCTGTAGCCATGTGGAGCTGCCTAAACGCTTCCTGGTACAAAGCTCCACCTATTTAAACAAAGCTCCTCCCGAGAGCTCAGTCTGCAGCCGAGCTCCTGCCCCTCAGAGCACCCATCCCCTGAAGCATTGCTGTGAAGACATGTGGGAATGGTAGGAGGTTCTTAAAGAGACAGAGGCCAATTTTTGATACAGTACTGTATATACATCATTTTCATAACAACTGAAGGTAACATGATTACTTGATTGTGGTATAGAATTGAACTACAGGTGCTGGTCATAAAATTAGAATATCATGAAAAAGTAGATTTATTTGAGTAATTCCATTTAAAAAGTGAAACTTCTACATTATATTCATACATTACATACAAACTCATATATTTAATGTTTATTTTGTTTAATTTTGCTGAATAGAAGAGAATAAAAACAACCCTAGGTTTCTGTT